ATTTGGGGCCTCATTTTACCCACCTTGGAAGGATGAAGGCTGAATCAACTTTCAGCCTGGTGGGATTCAATTTGCCAAATTGCAGTAGGAGTAGCTTACAGTACTGCACTCTAACCACTGCGCCACCAAGGCTCTACAATAGTGTAGCTTGGCTTTTTAAAACCTAATTGTATTATATTTATGGATACTGATAGGGTATCCTCTTCATGGTCCAACTTGGTAGCAGCCCCTAAACACCCATCTCTGATCTTAAAAAGTTAAAGAGGTTTCTGGTTGGATGGCAGACTATTAGGAAACATTAAAGCTGTAGGCTAGACTGGGCAATTTAAAAAAAAATCCTGGAAGAAAGTAAAAGCAGTTACTGATTTTGACTTCAGGTAGACATTCTTTTGGCATTTTTACCTGCACTTTGGAAAGCAAGTAGCCTACTTTTCACCAATAGGAATTTCGTTATAAACCAAATGCAATAATTTCTTGCCATTTAAAAGTGTTTCCTGTTAAATACACCTCTCTGGGCTTGTATTATGCAGACTGCATTCACACGTGGTGCTAATTCATAAATGGCGTTTCTTGATACATGTTCTTTTGTTTAGAGCAGAGCTTTTCAATCTTGGCAACTTTATTGGACGTTTAACTCCCAGAATTGTACAGCCAACTACTGTGGCTGATTTAATAAATCCTAGTTTAATTTGATGTAAAATCTATCAAGTTACTTGATAAAGGGAGATTTTTAATTTTAATTTAATCCTTAAAATGGTGGGGGGGACCACACAAAAATCCCTAAGACAAATACTTAAAGCAAAACATTTTGCAAGTCTGCTACAGGTGGTCTTTGAGTTATAACCTCAAATGGGACCAGAATTTCTGTTTGGACTCATGTCCAATTTTACATTTTTTTTGCTATGAATCGGTGTAATTGAATCACTCTCAGTGATTAAGTGAATCCAGCTTCCCTCATTAAATTTGCTTGTCGGAAACGGGGAAGGGGATAAATGGCGATCATGTGACTTCTGGAACTCCACAATCATCATATATAAATGCCAGTTGCCAAGTGCCCAACTTGTGATCATGTGACCATAGGGAAGCTACATATGAGGGCTAGTCATAAGTCACTTTTTTCAGTACCATTGTAAGTTCGAACAACTGCTAAACAAATGGTTGTAAGTTGAGGACTACCTGTACTACTTGTTTCACAAAAGCAGCTGTAGCTTCTTATTTGACCAAAAGTTTCCATCTACCAACCTCACCTGTTTTCTTAAGGCCCATTGTTTCCCTTCAGCAGGGAAAGCCTCATGCAGCTGCTTTGCCACAAAAAGAACCAGGATGTCCATGCCAGTGCTGGCCCAGCTTTTCAATCCGCTGCTGCCACAGGCAGGGTTTTAATTCTATTGATTTTGACCTGCTGTAATAGATTGCGCTCTGTATTTTAATTTTATAGCTTGAAACCCAATTGAGCAGAAAAATTAAAATCGGGAGAACATACATTCTCCATGAATTGGAGAAGGAGAATGTCTTCACAAAAACTCTTTAATCCACAAAATCATAATAGTTTTTTTTTAATGTTTACGTCTTCAGGCTCTTTTCTTGTAATGGAGTAACAAATCCATTTTGAATAATTTCCAAGACAAAAGCAAATGTTGGGTTTTGGAAGTTTGGTGTTCTTGAGTTTTCCAGGCAATGTTTGATACTCTTTAGTATCAAGAGAAAGGCACTATGATTCATATGGGACAGATGGTAGTCCTATTCAAACACGTTTTCAGGCTATATTTAATTCAGTGAGAACTGGCTGCTGCTAACCTATTCTCTCTTGATATTCAACACATCCTGAATTACTCAAGCTGTACGAAGTCATTGGCATGACAATCAGCTTAGGAGAAATTAGTGTCATTTCCTATTATGTAGGTGTACCAATACTTATACTCTGTGTCATCACTTACCATTCAGTTATCCTTTGAATTGGAAGGAATGCATCTCTCAGGGAAGTAGATATTCAGGAATATCAGCTACACTAGGCAGCAGTATCTGGTATCAGGAGGTATGCCACACACTTAGCCTGATGTTATATGTATTTTATTTCAGAGTCTTTGTAGCTCCCCAATACTCCATCTTGGACGTGTACAACAAAATAACTATCAAGAATTTTTTAAAAAATCTCAATTAATAAAAAATACCCTGTGTGGGCACCCAAATCCTTACATTTGGATTAAAAGCACAACAAAAAATGGCATATTATCAGCTTGACAAAATGCCAGGAAGGGATAGGGAAAAACTTGTTGGAACCACTGCCGTCATGCTAAAGATTCTCGAGATAGTTATTTTGGCTTATTTATTGCCTATGCTAGACTCCCTTTAATATCTCTCACTTAAATTTTTGTCCCAGTTACTTCAATAAGGAAGTTGGAACAGTAGGTATTTTAGTGATATGCACTGCAGAACAGCATCTTTTTAACATGTATCAAACAAGAGAATAAGGAATTTCTTTCAAGATCTCCATAATGAATACTGGCTAAGTGTCCTAGGTTCTAGGAGACTGCAGACTCAAGCAGGATCCAGGGTACTCTATTGGAAATGACTTTTTATTGCAAATGTAAAGTATATGAAATACGTTTTGCTTTGAATCAAAAAGTATCTCTTACTTGTAATTGTATTATTCTTCACCCTTTGCTCTTACCCATCATCACCATGATCATCTAACCTCTACCATGTTCCTATACAGCATTCCTATTTTATGCTGCCATTCTATCATCTATCACCGATTTCTCATTCCCTTATTTCTATTTTTCAATCAATGATCCTATTGTTTCTGCTCATTTACTAATGTCTACATTTCTTTTTCCTTAATCTGAATGCCATTTATACAGCTGTGTCTGTCTCTCAATTATTTTCTTCTTTTATCTTTCTTCAGCTCCCATTTACTCTGTCAGTAGCAGCTTGGCACAATTGCATCTTTGCAACTACATCAGATTTTAGTAGCAGGACAGCACCTGAACTCTAGAGTCCGGGACTGTGCTTTTCTCTTTTTGCTGGTTCCTTTCTACAGTTTTCTTCGGCATAAGCTGCCTCAGGGACTTTCTTGGCCCTTCTCCCTAGCCACGGATTGTCTTGGTTTCTGGCTGTTGCCTCCTCCGCTCCATGCCTTGTCCTCTTGCCTGCTACTCCAGCAACAGCTTCTGCCAGACCTAGAAGCCGCCTCCTTCTGCTACCTGCTGTGGTTTCTTTTATACAGTTGTTCTTCCTTTGGAGACCTATATATCAGCTTGCAGGTTTTAAATTCAACTCCACCCAACACCTCTTTGTAAGTACCTAACACAGCATAGGAAAAAAAAAACCTTTTACAGCACATATAACATTTATGTTTCAGAACAGTTCGTCCTTCCAGAGTATAACCTTCTGCTAATATGCAAATGATTTTGCAGAAATATCTGTTCCTAACTTCATTTTGGTAATGTTTTGTCTAGTCAGTCTATAAATTGAAGCAAATAAAATGTGATACCACTAGGCCTCTGTAAGAATTTAGATAGGTATAGAAAATGCAGTTTTGTCTTTTTGACTTTTTTTTACTCAATCTAGGAATAAAAATGTCAAGAAAGCCCTCTCAGTTGATAAATCTGTACTTATCTTTGACTTGCTGATGCAAGTATTTATTCCATATCAGGGGTAAGATCAGTGTAGAATTTAAATGAGTGAATTTATAAAATATTAACCTTGGTAAGGTTTTCATTGTGTAAACATTACCTGTTGGGAAAGTGAGATATAATTTGCCACATGTTCAGCTTTATTGTTTAGCCTTTGCTTTAGCTTGTTACTGGTTCAAGGGTTTTCAGAATTCAATCCTTCTGTATGCTCAATTTGAAAGTTATTGACTTTACATATAATGGAAAATATTGAATTATTTGTTCTGTCATCTATTTTAATGCCTGCGCTTAATATTGCAACATATATAGTGTATGGGAAATACTGGGTTGCAGGTTATTTTACCACTGGAAAAGCTTACAATACAAGCTTACTCTAAAATAATAGGTTAATGTGAGATCTTTAAGGTAAATTTGATCTTCAGAACATTGTGAATTTATAAAAATTGTAACTTGTGTTGTCATAAATCAAATTAATCTTATCTGTCCCATTTTAATCCTGATGCTTTTAAGTTCCATAGCTGCTATTGGCTTTGGAAAAAGTTTCATTCTAAAATGGTAATCCCTACGTTTACAAGAAACTAATGAAAACTAAAATTTGTATTTATTTTTGTGTACAGTGGATCACTGTATGCCATTATGTGTGACTGAATTCATCTTTTTCTGACAAAGGGAGAAGGGAAAGGGTTTTTAGCAGCAATTTAGTTGTTTTCCCACTAAAACCATATTCAGAGAAATTAATACTAATTTTTGAAAATGAAGTTGACGTGTCATTTGGGGAAGATGGGGTTAAGTATCATAATAAGTAACGATTAGCTTGATATAGTCTGTAATTCAGATCCATTTAATAAAAACAGAACATAGATTTCCATTTGCAGTCAAATAGGGTGTTCATCAGGAGAATAAACTTTTGAAGAGAAACAAGTAAAACTTGAGATGAATTTTCCTTTCTTTATACACAGCTGTATGTTTATGACACATAATAATCAATATAGGAAGGAAATCTTTGGTTAAAATATCTTACTTACTACTCAATACTATTTTAGTATTGTTAGATTTAGAATTTTGTAATCCATCCAAATCAAAGTGATTAAAAAGGTAGTGGATCCTTCTGAAAGTGTTCTGAAAACAAAAAATACAATTTGTTGGTTCAAAAGAGAAGGGGAAGAGGAGGGAAAAAGAATTTCTACTAATTTTAAATGGCTGTAGGCAAAATAATTATATGTATATTGAAGTACAATGCCTATAGGGTATTGTCTGTAGCACAGACCGATTTTGCTACAAGATAATCAGTGAAATCAAGAGATCAGATCTGTCTTTAGTGTAGCAATACAAGATGGTTGAACATAAAATTGAGACAGATAGCTTGGAATGTAACAATTTATTGGGGTAATCTCTTCTTAATTCCCCAGTTCTGGCATTGATACAATATTCAAGAGCAACAGAAAGAACAAATGTACAAGGATACAAGAATAATTAGCATAACTTCCCCCCACTGCAAACTTGAAGCAACCCCCTTCTCTAATAAAAATGTCAATGGGTGATTAAATCACCCACTGTGTAATGCTTCCCAGCCATCCACTCTAGACAGTTTAGCCAGTTGAGCACTGGATTTTAAAAAGCAACCAAGCAAATGCAAACACTATATTTAAAAAGTAATTAAGACAACATAGTATTAGATAACATTTAATTCGTGTACAACTGTTTCATTAAATGCATTTTTATCATAATACAAAATAGTCACCAGATATATAGCTCTTGTTTTTAAAGCCTATTTGTATGCCAAGAGATAAGAACTTAATAAATTTAAACTTTAGCTTACTCTTCACCATAAGGTCTCAACTTTGTAAAAACTAAATGCCCAAGCTTATGCAGATTCACTCAAATATCTGAGTATTTGTAAGGCTCACATTAATATTCCAAACAAGTTACAAAACTCTTATGTGTTATTAAGGACCACAAATCCATTAATTCTCTTGGAGATTTCACTGTACCTGAGCATCTGTTTTGGCAAGATTGAGACCTGGTCTTGAGAATGTATGCAATAAAGGAATAAGCACTAATTCTATGCCTCCCTGTAATTGTTCGTGTGAAAGTATGAGATTTTCCTTGAATAAAAATAGTATGATATATTGTGAAATTTGAATATAGCATTCAGGATTTTAGAAGGAATAAAACATCAGGAACTTCACTAGAGCTACTGTTAGCTGTATTAATATCTATGTGGTACCACTAAGATTATGAAGCAAATCTGATGTACTTACTTTGTCCCCCTTGAAAATATTTACATATTTTCACATCATTTTATTCCTGCTTTTTTTGCATTTCAGGTCCTGTAAACTCTTGGATTTAAAATTATTAAAGCTTGCACTATTCAGATTCATTTTCAAAAAAGTATTTTGGAGAACATGTGAGTGAAAACATAATCTCTCTCTCTACAGATCTTTAAAGAACCAGTACATCACTGAGATGATATGGCTGCTTTAAAGAAATACGGGGAAGTGCTACATTCCTGCTCTTATATGCTCCAAAAGGCCTTTTTGGAATTGAACTGGAGTGATGCAGCTATAACAACTTCTTAGTTAGCTACCTTATTGCTGATAAGGTCCTATAAACACCACAGGACTGTCTCCCATTACTAACTGCAGCCTGCAAGAACAGATACAGATAATTGTAATAGTGGCTTGGTAGATCAGTGATAATGCAGCAGAACCAGGGAGTGCTTTTCTGACAATGAAATATGAAACATGGAAAATTTCCTATCTGTTGAAGTGCCTTAAACTATAACAAAACAAGTAAATACATATAACTATTTCCAAATGCTGCAAAATTAAAGAATCTTATCAGGCTCTCTTATTGTCTTCTGAATAATAAATACTCGCTGCTACAAGTCATTCCTATAAGTAGGAACAGTTAATTATTTGACAGACACAATCAATCACTAGGGAATGGGGAAGCATTCTTAGATAAAGGGGAATCCTTTAACATGGCACAAAATGTTTGCCAATATGATAATACAGAGTTTAAATTATGTGCTTACAATATTTTTAAGTGCTATATAAACCAGGAACCAGGTTTTTCATGACTCTAAATGATCTGAATGAATTCAATCATAAGAAACATTTACAATAATCTCCCAAGCAGCTTCACCTCTAAACAATAATTTACTGTCCACTGCAAAAATTAAATTCATTTTAAAAAACTGTATACTCCTTTGTTTCCTCCTACTTCTCTGCCTTGCCTATTCATATAATACTAGATGTGGTCTCTTTCTCCTAAAGTACTTTTTCTGGTAAGTACTGTAAGTAAAACTGCACTGCAGCTGTCTTCCATCTTCACAAGCAAAGAATGTGATGCCTATTCAGATGTTCTCGGCAGCCCTAATGAGGCAAGTGCCAGAAAAGGGCCACTCATTAGAAAATTACCAGATTCAGGAACCAGATATCTCTGGGGCATGTGTCTTCCTTGTCAACATTTTAACTGTGATATTTAGAAAAAATTACATACAGGGAAAAATTATCTACCCTACTGAAGAACAAAGAGTGCAACCAGGTAAATCCCAAAGGATTTATCTGAGCACTAGAATTTTTGTACTTAAATGAACAATTGCCATCACTAACTGTAGGAAAAAATGGCTTTTCAGATGTTGTTGGACTACAACTTTCTGCAGGACTGATAATGAAGATGCTATATGTTACATCTGTCAATCTCGAGAGAAATTTAGCTTTCCTAATATCATAACTATTACATTTTCATGTTTCACTAACTGAGATAGCATTGGTTTTATTCAGCAATTATTTTTCCTTAACAACTAGGCCTTATGCATTTCAATGATCTTATGTGCATGTATATGTACATATGCATTCATAGAACACTTATACGTATGTATGAATGAAATTTCACAAAAAACCAATCTAGAGCTTGCAGGATTTTAAGTTATACAAATTAAGAACAATTGCACATAATTATAATGAACAGGGGTTTGAAACACCGAGTTTCAGGTTCACAAGAGTTGTTTCAACTTTAAAATGATTTTTTCAAGAATTATTTTGAGCTCGAAACCATTCAAATTGAAACCATTCAGATAAATCTTGAGTATCAAAGAGCTCACACTGATTTCAAAATACCTCTGGAATGGTCAGAATTGTTTCATACTTAAAATATTTTAAATTTGAAACCTTGTGCACCCTCCCTAAAATAATACACGATACTGAAAATACGTTATCATTACTCAGAATTCTGCTAAGAACTAATTTTGACATTTTTTTTCCATCAAGCTTTGCTTACAGTTAGCAATCATTTAAAAAGGAATATAAACAATCCAATATTTTTAGATGTTGAATATCAATTGTACAATTTACCAATTGTAAAATACCAAACTTGGGGAAGGTTCTGATTCTATATCAGTATTAAGTCTAGATGCATAGATGCAGGATAGCTTCATCTACCTTTGAGTTTTAGAAGTTCCCTCAAAGTATATAGTACAAAAAATATTCAGAACTTGGTATAAGCAAAGCAACACACAAATTATATTGGGAAGCATGTAGCTTAACAGCAACATATTTTGCATGGAATGGAAGCTTGAGCTCAATTTCAAGCATCACCTATTGAAATCTGTCTGTCTCACGGAGATCATGCCCATAAGTATAATCAGTACTCAACCAGACTGAATAAACAGCTAACAACACCAGTGTAAGGCAGTTTCATGTTTTTCACATCATTTACTCATTCAGAAGTAACACTGATAAATAATCTTTAAGCCAATAAAAAAAAACAGATCATGCATAGGTCAGATTAGAGATTGTATCAAGTTGAAAAAAAAAGCCATGTGGGGAAGGAGAATTTTCCAATCCCAAACTTCATCACTCAGGATTCTCAATGTGTAAGTTAAGTGAAAGCTAATGTTTAATTAGGGAAATATTAAAGGGAAATATAAATATTCAGAAGTGTTTATAAGCACTGAGAACAGCAAGTTTCTCCTCTTCCTCTAAAAACCAATTTCAGCTAGGGAAAAAGGAGATCTCAAAAATAAAATTAAACAGCTTATAAATCACAGCATTCTTTCAGACCACAACTAGCTATTCCTAGTTCTCAAAATTATGGTCACACTACTGGCCCAAGCTGTCTTTGTCATCACAAAGCATGGTGAAGGGTTAAGTGGAGGATTATTTATTTATATATACATAGTACATATACTTATATTGAAAATATCCCAACTTTGTACTATCAGGAGACAGTCAAAAAAGCAGCAAAGCAAGCAACACTGGAACGTGAATGCACCAGGGAAGAAAACAGTGCAAAGCCTTGGGGCAAGAAGCAAGGAGTGCGAATAGAGACACACCTGACCAACTAGAAATACATTCCAAAGCTATTACATTACTCTACCCATGACCCAACAGTTTCCAATTTACTGCATAAACTTAATTCCCCAACAGGGGCAATTTGTGAATTCTCTTCACTATCTTGTTTTCTCCTCCATATCAATTATCCAAATCTAGGCTCTATAGAAGGTGGACAGCAGGAAATGCAGCAAAGAAATCACATTTCTTCTAAACAGAAAAAGAGAAACACAAATCTCACACTGACACTTAAGTCATCCCTTTTAAATAGATATTAAAATAGAGGGATTATTTATTTCAGACAATTTATATAGTCACCCACCTCACAAGCAGCAGTTCTGGGCAGCTAAGATTATTTTAAAAATCAATTAAAAACAACCAATTACAATAGTATACACAGAGAAATAATCTTCAAATGGGCAGGATTGAGTTATTGAGCAACAAAAGAAATTATCCCCTTGAGAAGGATCCACAGAGTCTGAAGAGTGGCTTATTGTTGCCATACTTTAATCTTTCACAGCCCATTTCATGTATCAAGCCAACCAACAACTCAAGGCTATGCTGTGGTTGGATTTATCTCCGGAATGTATCTGGGAACACTCAGGAGTATGAATATAATATCTGTCTGCAACATCATAAAGTGGCTGTGTCTTTTCCCAAGACCACGAGAGCTGCCACATGATACTGAGAAAGCTACTTTAAGGAGACACAGAAAGTTCTACGTGCTGCATAGCTGTAGAAGCATTCCCTTCTCTAGTCTTAAACTCTCCAAATAGGTTGAATTACAAGCCTTCTCAATGTTAAGAGTGTGGTCTTATCTATCCAGAAGGTATAAGAAAGTCTGATTAGTATGGAGTGAAATAGTAACCTCAGTGAGCAAAAATATCATAGTTCAACCTGTAAAAATAGCTGAAAAGCTTTTCTAAGAGTGAATAGATGAAAAATAGTTAATCTGTAAAATATAGGTTCATTAGGGAGCAGTAGTTTGTTTCCTTGGGAATACATCTAATATTTCTTTTTAAGTAGATTTCAGTTTTCCATTAACTCTTGTTGCAGGTAATGAGACATTCAAAATTAAGAGCCAAAACAAAAATGCAAATTTCCATGCAAGCAAAAAGATCAAAATTATAATACTATAGCACTACACTAGAACAGCTATCCTTCCCCATTCTTGTCCAATGCCTGCCTTATAATTTCCACATCAATGATCTGATCTGTATTTGCCCATATGACTAACATGGTATTCACACATTTAGATTACATGGACTGTGATAAGAAATCTAAGATAGGCATTACTGTTACGCTGCCATTAGGTTGTGTGAATTCTTTCCTAGCACTTGTTCACACTCAGCTTCTACAATCAGCACTTCACAGGTGATTTTTATGGATAACATAAATATACAATTACCATCTTAGGCAATTGTGAATTTACATCATATTACCCTTTCATTATATATCTTCCTTCAATATTTTAACAGTATATTTCATTTGCAAGGCTACACTTACTTTTTTCATCTCATTTTCCTTATGTTTCACAATTAATATAATCACCATGGCCCAAGCCATCAGAATTAGTTTAGTGCAGTTTTTCCCATGTTGTGGTTCTTCAGACTGTAACTACTGACTGACAGGGAATTTTGGGAGTTGCAATTCCAACTGGCATTTGGACTGTGCCAATGTTGGGAAAATTGCTTTAGTTTTTGCTTTCTTCAAGAAGGCCCTGATCATATCTCTTAATGTAGGAGAGCTACATATTGCCCACTTGTAAAAATCTTGGTTATACAAGTATGAAAGATGTATTTGGTTAGAAAAAGTATTTCTGGTATACCAACTTCAGTATGAATGAACTGGCTTTATCACTGAACATTTTGCCAGATTATAAGGGTATGTTTCCTTCACAGCTACCAAACACACATACATCTTGCTTGTCAGAGATCCCAGATCTTACTGAAAACCACAAAGCAGCAACATGTCCCATTCAATTCAGCAGATCATCATGAAGTACAACTGATAACTTGCATGAACAAGTTAATAATAAAATGCCACATAGTCCTGCCTGACAAACAGAACAAGGCTAAATTCTGGCTTCATAACTATGGAAGGAGGCATTCTCCCTACTCCTTCAAGTTAAGGGTAACAGAAGGAAGAATTTTCTCTAAGATAAGGATTTGCTTCCTCACTTTAGAAGCTGCATCTCTTCTTACATTCTTTGCTCTTCCTTCCCAATTTAAATTATCTGAATGCCTTCCTCTACCACTCATAATTGTAAAAATACTCTTTTCTCAAAGGACCAGCTAATATCACTACATTTGTGCAATTACTGCATTTAATATTTTTAAATCTCTATCCTCCTCTGTCTGTAAAAATCTTCTTTTTTTAAAAAAAAGAACTTTTCCTTTTTTCTATTTTTTTCCTTTTATTTGCAAAACTAGTCTTCTTTCTCAACCCCCACCCCATCAAACTCTCCTAATAACAAAAGTGGCCACAAGCATGGCAAAGATACAAAGAAAACCGATACATACAACTCACATGGCGTCTTTGCACAGACTGTACGCATAGAAGGGCTTTTATGCTTTATGATATAAGGAGAAATTAAGATTCAAGGTAATAAACAAAGCTCAAATCATTAAAACACAACAATAGCTCTATATTACCCTCTAGTGGTTTGACTGCATCATGAAACAAGGTTTCATTTTAACAGAAAAGATCAACACAATTTGCTTTCATAGAGCATGTGCCAAGGAAGGGAAAAATGATCTAAGGCAAGAACAATCTTGCATTCCAGTATTACACATAACTGGTCTACCCCTGCCCTTAAAGGAGATGATTCTTTCTGATGTGAAGAAATTTTCTAGCTCCTGGGAGACAGGCAAGAGCAACTTGGTTGGTATGTTACAGAACCCCTCAAATTAATTAGAAGCTGCTAGGCGGCTATTTATCCTCCTTTTATTTTGTCCAAACAGCAGGCATTTCTTTGCATCAAATTGGCTCAAATCCTTTATATCTCTGTGAATTAATTACTCTAATTCACAACCTTAGCCCGTTCTTAAAATAGCCTGCTGGTTGTAATCAGATAGAAGAGATAATAGCAATACAACCAACAATTAGCACCATATTCTGTTTTACCAGACTGGCTCAATAGCAACCTGCCAGAGATTTCTTACTCAGACACCACTTGTTTAAATATTTTTGGCTAAATCTCCAGTGATCAGCACAAGCAATGCAAAACTAGACAAATCTACTAACTGCAAATGCTACTACTCCAAATGGATTTAAGGAATCCTACAGTGAAGGAGCGCACAATTTTCATTAACTCAAGAGTTACATCAGATGTAACATGTGACATACAGAAATAGGAAAGGCTAGGCTCCATTTGAGAGGAGGGGCTCAGGAGTACAGTAGGTGCTACATTAGTTTGTTGAGTTTTAAAACAATCATTGCATTCCTTAAACACCATGAAGGAAAAAAGGCCCAAATTTTTAGCCCAAGAGATGCTGGAGGGCCACAGGCAGCTTTTGGACCATAATTTTTCCACCCCAATTTACTGCTTTTCATTTTTAAACACTTGCTACAGTGGCAATTATAGCAGTCTAGGAATTGCTATTCAAGCAATCTGTGGTAAGTCCTAGAAATTTCAGCCTTTGACTTTTCCTCAAGCACTTTTCATGTGGAAAAAAAAAGTTCCTTATTTATTTTCCATGTATCATAGTAAAGAACAAAAGTGTGTGGAGTAAATTTTATGCCTTAAGAGGCAGTAAACATGTACATGTTAGTTTTAAGCAGATATACCTCCTCAGCAAATATTTAGTGCATAAATTGTATACCCAATATCTTCATGTTAAAATGGTCATAAAAGAGGAAGGAGAAATTATTTAATCTCCTCCTTTCACTTTCTCCAGGCACACACTCCACTATTTCCAGTAGTTGATCTTTCGGGATGGAATAAAATCAAACAAAACCTGTTCGATGCATTTGGAGGAGCTTTTTGTTGAAATCAGCCAGTTTGTTAATGACTATTTTTTCATAATACCTCTAAGAAAGGTAAAAACCATATTCTATGGAAACTCACAGAAATTAAAGTGACAAGAGACTCCAGGGAACAAGGGGAAATCAGCCGAGATTGTGTGCTTAAAGTATCTGAAGAGTTTCCTATTGAAATTCCTGTTTACAATGGCTATCTAATTTGTTTCTAACAAAATGCCACAAAAATAAACAATTGTAGAACATGATTGACTATTCAACCACCCTTATATTTCCTTTTGAAGTTTCATAAAATATTTCTATTTTTTCTCTTAAAATCTTTTTAATACAAGTCTCCCTGTTCTCTCCCTATTATATATCTCTATCCTCATCCCAGCCCACCCACCTTTGAAGCCATCAAAATAAACTCTCATGATAACGCCTCCCATTCTTCTGAGGCAATACAATGATACAACTTGTCTTACTGACTTCACAAAAAATTACAAACAGTGAATTCCAAAGCATACATTTGTGGAACATCAGAAAGCCTTGGAGTTCTATATCAGTGGGAGGAGCATGGAGGTAATAACCCTGCACACTTTGTAGAGTTCACGGATTAAAAAAAAGATACTAAAGAGAATGGATGACTGGATAACAGTAAAACTCGAATATCTCTTCAATATTCACTGCACTCAAACTGTCACAAACAATACAATGCTTAACATCATAAACTTTGCTTTTGGTAGGCATTTATGTATAGACACTGATATTTAGGACTCTTAACACACATCAGCTCAATCTTTTTTCTAACAAAGTTCTGATTTCTTCTTAAGTATGGATATAAACAAATGGAATTCTGTAAAGTCCTTGAAGAGAAGAATGTTAAAAAGAAAACACAGGGGAAAGAAAAGTCCATCCTAATGGAGAGAATGAAATCAAATCACTATTTTTTAAAAACCTTATCAATCAAGCAGTAAATGCTACAGTATTTGCAGCACCAGGTTTCACTTATATCGCTAATAAACTTTAAAAGAACAAAACCAAATGAAACAAAAACAACAACAACCCCTAAGCAGAATCTTAAAAGACAATTG